GGTTTCCAGCTTCAGAGGGGGGCACATCTCCTGTCCGCACAAGGGCACACGTTGGCGCTAACACCAGGCGCGTAACAGGGGTCTTGGGTCAGAGTGGGTATTTATTTTTTTTATTTTTTTTATTTTTTATAGGGTAACCCTTCTAGTTTAGCCCAGTAGGTTAACTGATATTCAGGGGTCCTCTTTAATAAAATTAAAGAACAGTACAAATATCATCATCATCATCATCATCATGCTTATCATCATGCTTATCATCATCATCATCATCATCATCATCATCATCATCATCATCATCATCATCATCATCATCATCATCATCATCATCATCATCATCATCATCATCATCATCATCATCATCATCATCATCATCATCATCATCATCATCATCATCATCATCATCATCATAATAATAATAATAATAATAATAATAATAATAATAATAATAATAACAACAACATACAATCCTCATATCCCTCATAATTTTATATATAATATCGGCCACACACGTGTGTTTGAAACTAAATATAAGCATTTTCATCATGGTTTTATTTATTACAAACATATTCTTTCACCATCTATACACATTGAGGCCCCTCTTTTAGGTTAAAATGATCTATCTTAAATTTGTCTTGCTTGAGTTTGGGACTATTATGTGTTTAAATAACTTAAAAGGATAAAACTAAAAAAGCCCTAAAAATTGCTCGCCAAGCGCGCAAAATATTTTTGTGTTTTTAATTCTAATTTCGCCGTAATTGATGAAAACTCCCTAAAATGTGCAATTTATAGAGGAAATTGGCCTACCGTAACAAGAAATTCGCGCAAAGAATTTGCGAATTTTAGGCACTTTCAGAGGATGCATTTGTCAAGGGGTGGAGAAAGATTTTCCAAAGATGGATATTTTCCCCTTGTCCCCCGGCGTTTTTAATTCTAATTTCGTTGGAATTGATCAAAACTCCATAAATGTGCCATTTTTAGAGGAAATTGGGCCATGTTAACAAGAAATGAGCGCGAAATTTGAGGTTTTTAGGCACTTTCAGGGGATGAAAGGGCATTTATAAAGGGGTGGGGAAGATTTTTCAAAGATAGATATTTTCCCCTTGTCCCCCAGTGTTACGCCATCGGGCAGCATAGATCAAAGGAGTTATGACAGTTTTTGAAGTGGAGAAGGGGTTGCAGGGTGTGTCTGGTCATTATGATATCTTCCTTTTTATTCTTGTCTTCATTTTTCTCTTCTCTTTTTCCTTCCTTTTCTGTTCCTCTTCTTTCTCTTTCCCTTCCTCTCCCCTCTTTCTTTTCTCTTATTACCCAGCCCGGTACGACG